CCCCTTGTTTGAGTTGAGCCTTCTGCAGATGACGTAACTGTATTATTTTTTATTAAAGTTTTATTCTCTTTATACACTCTCTCAATTTGAATTTGAACCTCATCTTCTCCCTCACATCTTTTAAAAAGAACTGACTACCAAACACTAGCTGATCTTTAAAAATCAGCTATCGAGAGCTTTCGATAGCTTTCGAAGATCTACCTAAAATGATTTACATCTATGGCTCTGTTTTTTTTTTTTTAAGGAAGGTTATAGCTCTGTTTGGTTTCAAATTTGTCAATTAATTTACAGTGTTTCCCAACTTTCAAAAAGCGAGTAGTAGTTGCATAGGAATAACATTAATTCTTTTAAATATTATGTTAGTAGTCTAGACTGTAGAGGGGACAATTTTTATTGCCATGATATTAAAGTGGGAATGAGAAGTTAGAGAACAAATTTTTGATAAGGTTATCACTATTTAATATTTATAAGTGAGAGTAATTTTGTGAATATATTAGAGGTAAATATTTACTTTTTTTTTTATTATTGTTAAGGACACTTTGGTAAAAGGGGCTGGGGTGAGTTAATAGTAAACCCCAACACAAGGCCTATAATATGGGGTCGGCCTACATAAATTATGAGAAAATAAACCCAACCCAAGGTATGGACATAAATATTTGAACAAAAACCTAGGAAAGATATGAGTGATTTACCCATTAACAAAAGTATACATGTGTAGAGGGGATACACACCCAAGAACAAACCTAATTATTCTTGACTTACAATAATCTTTGAAGTATATAAAAAATATAATAGCAGATTACAACAACCCAACCGCCCCGCCATGAGACATTACATAGTTTTTATCCTTTTCATACTCTTATATATATACTGCTCTTATTTAAGAATTGTTTTGCTTGGTTCACTGATTTTTATTAATTGAGATGATTTGGGCAAAGGTGATCAATTCTTGGTTGCAGAGACAAAGAATCTCAACCCTTTCATCAGTGCTCGATATGCCAAAATATGAACAACCCATAAAGTAATTCCCCGGCCTGGCTCCCAAGAGATTTACTGTATCGGGGGTAGTTAGAAAAAGTCATTGGGGGTATTGGTACGTAGCTTGTTTTTTAACTTGTTAATATTTTTGTACTTTTATATAAAAGCTTGGCCTATACATGCATAGTGTTTACATGCGTGAGCAACTCTACGTGTTGGAAGCTGAAACAGTGATGGTTCATTATCCCATGCTCGATACGATAGACGTACACGTACCGTTTCAAGTAAACCATATCTTTTATCTTTTACTTGGGGGCAAGACAACGGGACCATCAAGTAAAACGGTTTAATTCGTTAGCCGTTTATACATATTTAAATAGGTAGCTAGGTATATGCAAATTGCTTTAGGTCTAGAAGCAGACCCTCTGCCCAGGACGAAATCCAAGAAATTATTTAGACTGCTTTACATGCCATACAAACAATTATAAAACCAGTTAAGTTACAAAGTCTTAATGATGATCAACTGTTTGAGAAGGTGAGGAGACTGGAGAGGAGTCCCATTTGAGGTGGGTCCTGACTCCATACTCCTCCAGAGTTTCTCTATGTGGAATACACTGTGGTGGACGACGCAATATCAACTAACCCATACTTCTCTTTCTCTCTCTGAGGCGGTAATAGAACAAGCGGTAGGAACTAGGAAGGTTCTGGTTTGGTTTGGTGGAGAGATGGGGTTATTGAGCTGGCGCACCCACATTTTATGCCAAATCGTAAACAAACTTAGCTAATATTAGCTAAGAATAAACTGTGAGCAGAAACAAATCTTCATTAACAAGTTCTTCTGTCTTATCTCTATCAATATATATATATATATATATATATTGAGAGAGAGAGAGAGGGGGGAAAGGAAAAGAAAAAAGGCATCCGTACCGTATTCACGTGCTAACCGATTCACCAATCCTTGTATTCCCATATACATAAGATATTATGATATTATATTAGAGAAAGAAGAACACAATGTTTGAACTAAGAAGACAGAGGAGGAGGAGGAGGAGACGAGAGATAGTGGGGGAAGTGTCGACGCCAGCACACACGAGGGAGCTAGGAGTTCTCATTTCTCATTTCTCAGTGGACTAATTAACTTTCCAAACCCATGGGTTAGCTTAATTAGCCACCTCATCATTACTTAAGGTACTACCTCTTACACACATATTATTTGTGTCGAGGTGGTAGCCCATGCCCAGGCCCAGGCCCACCATTCAAAAAAAAAAAAAGGAAAAGAAAAGAAATTAGGAAATAAAAGAGCAAGATGTGGTCCACTTGACCAAGACCGTTAATTTGGTGTCTCACCCCCTCTCTGATGTACATGGACCCACAGGACGAAAATCATATCCATTAAATAAAAAATAAAAGCTGAGACATTGGATTAATCAACGGATAGCCCATAAACAGAATAATGGGTTCCCTGATTCATAGATTCCCATTTACTGAGCTGTGGCGCTGTAGTGCTGTAGCGCTGTAGCGCTGTGGCTGTGCTTGAGAGAAGTTTTTAAGTTAAAAGGGCGGTGTCAAAAGTGAATTAGACAGGCTGAAAGAAGGCCCCGCCCATGGGCCTAGAAACTGAATTACTCAATACATAGTGCGGATGTTAAAAAGGGTTTAGGGAAGGACCCAAACCAAAATTCTCTTCGGTTTGTCGTAAATAAGAAAAAGTTTTAATTCCCTTCTCTCCCTTTATTACTTTTTGAGAGAAGAAGATGTTATCTCTGTGTGAAGGGACAGCTGACCCACATAATCTTTCTGCCTTTTAGAACATGGAGATACTATTTCCTATTTACATTTTGCATTCCAATGGCCTTGGTGAGATCCAAATTATAACTCCTTTTCTTTTAACATTATTAATTATTATTATCAAGTTTTTCTTGGAGTTAAATGTAATTTATGAAGCCAAGTAGTTTCCATCTTAGTCCTCCGTTGCCTCATCTATAGTTAATGGTCCCAGTGGGTGACGATAGTCGTGTCAAGATTGATTGCTGGGGAATAACCTTTGTTCTTTTTTTCTTTTTTATTTTTCTTTTGTGAGTTTGGATTTCGTAGGCAGACGTTGATGAGCATGTCTAATAAGCACATACTGTGTACAATACATGACCCGTATTTATATATACTTTCTGATACATCCAGTGAAGAAGTAACAATACGCGTGGCATACATTGATTATGTAGTTACTTATAAGGATTAAAATATCGATATAATACATTTTTTATCTATGTCGATACATCCAAATGCACATGGATACATTAAGACAAACTTTTTAAAAGTTTTAAAATTTTGGGATGATTAATCTCATCCCTTTAATTCGATTAAAATGAAAAAAAAAAAGTAAAAATAATTAAATAAATACCTTAAATGTATCAGATATATTGATATGGATCAATACCAATTTTTAGTATAAGTGTATCAATATTTTAATCCTTGATTATTCGGTATATTTACAAAGTATGCTTATCAAATCTAGACTCTTTATGTTACATGTTGCACTTACTTAGGAAGAGAAAGGGAGGAAGAAGGGTTACTCCACTTGCTTGAACTTTGCAAATTTGATGTTAGAAAGGAGTAGACAGTTACCTGTCAACTTTAGGATTAAATAATGAAGGTGAAGAAGATGTGTGATTTATGAATAATTATGATAACAGGGCACAGATACATTTAATGGTTTACACACACTATATATAATCCACTCCACCAGCTTATTACCCATATTGTAAATATTACTTTAGGGAGCCAAAATAGGTTATAATTATTGAATGCTGTTAAAACTGTGCGATATTACTACTTACTAATTACGAGATGATGGGATGAGAGAGAGAGATAGATTTTGATTGTTGAGAAATGTTCAAACCAAAGTAAGTTGTGATGATGAGGTTCCGTTAAGACTAACTAAAAGGAGTAAATACAGAGTTTCACAACTTGAGTCTTTGTCTTCCTGCACCCTCCTCGGGTCTAGAGAGAGAAAAGAGGAGTCAGGTTTTTAATTTGTGTTAGTGGGTTTAGATGCACTAATGATTGCCCTCGTGGCTAATCTTCATCCTTTTTTCCTTTGAAGAGAGAGAGAGGATTTAGAAGAGATGTGTTAAGATTAAAGAGAAGAGCGATTATTATATGTGTGTGCACCGTTCTTTTTCTTTTGTGTGTTTGTGTGTGAGGGAGAAAGAGAGAATGAAATTTAAAAACTAAAACTTGAATATAAAGAAGTCTGTAAAAGCAGAGATGCGGATGAGCTGGGCCTTCGTCTTCTTTGTTCACTTCCACAATCCATTTATCTTCTGTTTGCCGCCTACCTATTATCTTCCTTCAAGTTAATATAAAATTTACAATTCATTCAACCTCCCATGATCAAGTAATCAAACAGGTCGGGTTATGATAAGCATTGTCACCACCAGAATCCGACCCGATTTGATCACACCCTTCCCATGCATATATGGAATAGACCAAGCTAGTCTAGGGACCCTTAATGAGTCCAGATCTGCTACCAGCAAGACGTTGTACAGTCAGGTATCGAGTACATCTCAATTGTCATTCATGGAAAAATATTCTGTAGTGTTTCATGGATATGCATGGTGATCTTATATTTATGGGCAGCAGATCCTAACTAGCTCACCCTTTAATATTATAAAACTAATTGTAAATTCATTTTAAACTTCTACTACGACTCTGAAATTTGGGTTTTGTAGTCTAAGCAAAAAAACAAAAAAGGTCTCTAAATAAACTAAAGACAAGCAAGACAATACAAGAT